CATGTAACGTAACCACCATATGTTAGCCTATGGCATCGAAAGTCTTGCATCACTTAGATCTCCCTACCTCTGACACGAAGCTCACCCGTCTCAGCTGCAGGTCTCAGGCGCTGACGTTGTCATCGTGGTCGTGGGTGTCGTTGTCATCATGGTCATGGTCATGGCTGTCGTTGTGATCATGATCATGGCTGTCGTTGTGATCATGGTCATGGTCGTGATCATGGTCGTGGTCACCATCACCGTCGTGGTCGTGGTCACCGTCGTGGTCGTGGTCACCGTCGTGGTCGTGGCCATGGTCGTCGTCTGTCTCGGTTGTGGCGGCCTCTTCCTCGCATCCCTGGAGATGACCGGCCAGGATAAACGCGAGCATCGCGAGGATCACCGCACGCCAAGATTTCATGGCGCCAAAAGAACTTCGAGCGAAAGAACCGACCACTTGCTTCGGTGCGAAATAGCTTGAGCCAATAATTGTTGAAAGTTGAAGTGTTCAAGGTTGGCTGGTGGTTCTCTACTCCTACAGTTGGGTCACTGTTGGGCCTACAGTCTGTGCAAGAAACTTGGAACATCACTATTCCCCAATGCCAAATACAGAGAACGCGTACCTTTGGCATCCGCTTCAAAGGGGGTGCTTACGCCATAGGCTCCAGGGTTTCGGAGTCATGCTACTCTGGGTCTAGAGTCCGGACAGCTTAAGCAGTGGGTAGGTCTCTGGATTTTGATTTCAGACGTGGAGGAACATAAGTGATTTAACGCCACTGCTTGAATCCTGCGTTCGAACCGTGGAAGACTCAAGATGCAGCTTTTGCACTGCGAGACAACCCCAAGCCATAAGCCTGAAACAAAACCCTAACCCGTAAAACACTAAACTCTAAACCATAAAATCCTAAACCCTAAATCCTGAACCCTAAATCCTAAGCCCTCAAACCATCAGAGCTTCGGCTTGCGGATTCTGCGCATAGCCCTGCAATGCAACAATGCGGACCGTCCGGAAAGTCGAAAACACCAAGACATCCTTAATAGTAGCAATAGCAAAACCAGTAACGATGGCATAACAGCGGCAATAATAAACAGTGGTAGTGATAGCAATAAAAGCAGAACAACAAGCTATTGCCAGCAATGGCAGTAATAATATCATCAGTGGTTGTACCACTCATAGTAAAACCAGTGATGATAATCTTAGTATAGAAGTGATGATACTAGTAGTATTAATGAATGCCATCATTATTATCCTTGTTGTTGTCAATAGCAATATCACTACGTTCAGCTCTATGCCCTCACCTTGGCGACATCAGTTATGTTTTGTTGTATTTATGTGATATTTATGGTTTCCTTGCATTATGTCATGTTATGATATACTGATATACTACATCATGCGAGCACTATGTTAAAATCATACTATGTCAGTTTATGCTACAGTTTACGTCCCACTTACAGGCCGGGTGTGCAAGATCATTCTACCTTGACGCCAACGATCGGTCTATGATTCGTATATATATATATATATATATATATATAAACATATGATGCGTAATACGATGTAAAGTATATACTCAATCTAAGGCCCCTCGAAAAAATCAAAGGTCCCCGACCCAAAGATCCTGAGCATGTCTCCAGGGTGAAAGGTTTCTAGAAGTTGGGGCTCAGTATGCAAGAATCTAGGTAGAAGACCTTTACACCTTATAACTACCCACCTATAATGGGCTTAGACTAGGGTTGAAGCCAGAACCCTTTAGAAGGCCTAAGGGTCCACGTTAGGGATTCTAGAGGGGTCTTGGAATTATGGGATGCAGTCCCCCGTATTCCCCTAAGCTCTAAATAAGCCTTTTCGAAACCTGGCAAAACCATCGACGAACCCATATATCCACCCTTGTAGTCGAACTCTTGAGCCTCAACGTAACCCCTCTATAGAAGCCTTAACGTTACCCTTCGGAAGCCTCATTACCAACCCTGGCAGTCTCAGCCCCCTCTAACCTTCGACCGCCCGCTCTATATCTCGAAGAGAGTCTGAGGTCCGATCCCCTTGGAAGCATTGGGGCTCCTATATGAGGTCTCTGTCAAGGGTCCCCTTCAAGGTTCCATGAGGGTCCTAGGATGTGTTTTGCGGGTTCAAGATTTTAGGGTAGGGCTTTTAGGGTTTAGGGTTACCCCTTGGTTTACGTGGGTCGGTGCCTGGCCCCTTCAAGAACGGGTTCGGACTCTCTTTGAGGGTTTAGGGTGGGTTTACATGAGGACGACCCCTCGACATGACGAATGTCACTCCCCGGAACCGACAGCAAAGTGGAGCCGGGTTACTTGCGAGGCAGCAAATCCAGGAATGGACAAGGAGCTGGTGGGTGAGCCTTAACACGAGAGTTTAAAGATTAAAGTTTAGGCTGCAAGTCTTTTAGGCATGTCAAACTAGAGACAGCAGTATGTCACAGCTTCCTACTGCTGCTGTCTCCACGGCTGTGCCATCATCGCCGTGGGCGGCGTCATGGTCTTTCTCCTGCTCTAATGTATGATTGCGGCTTGAATGCCTGTGATACCCACTCCGCACTGTTATAATTACTTACCTTGATGCCTGATCTCTGTGCGTGCGTGCGTGCGTGCGTGCGTGCGTGCGTGCGTGCGTGCGTGCGTGCGTGGGTGTGTTGTGTGTGTGTGTGTGTGTTTCTGCGTGTCTGTGTGTCTGCGTGTCTGTGTGTGTCTGTGTGTCCG